GTCTGGGTAGACAGCACATCAACAGATCCAGGGCAGAAGTTACATCTATGAGTATGGGCATCAAAGACCTTTGCACAGTGTAAAGTAGGCTGGTCTTGTGACTAAGTTTTTGGAAAATGTAGCAGTTTTTCATAAAAATGTTTTATATATAAACATGGAGTGTGTTATATATAAATAGAATAGTTTGTAAATAAATTAGCATATATTTAATATTTTTTTTAAAAAAAATTCAGTGTATAGAATACAAACAGATGTAATCTACATAAACAAATCGATGTAAGGATCCTCACATAATGAGGTCCAGAGACACAAATGTTTAAAAATTCTAGGGCTGGAGTGAGTAGGTCGTAGCACATGTGAAGACAGCAGCATGGGGACATGAAAGATGGAGTCCTCTGTTCTGGTGGATATGCCAAGGTGGGCAGCTGGCTATAGGCATTCATAGCTCAGAGCTTAGGAAAGACGTCATTGTGAAGATACAGATTTGACAGTGATCACATTTGGGTAGTATTCAGAGTTCACGGATTTGCTGAGATCGTCCAAACTGTGACCACTCCTTTATGCTTTACTAAACAAACAGACAAACAAACAAAACCAAAGCCATGGCTGATTTGAGGAGAAAGTGTAGTTTTAACAGAAGTTTCCAGTTTTAGAATAATCCAGTGTTTGAGGATCGAGAGTAATGGTAGCTCTGGAAAAGTCACAGGAGAAGAGGGGAGAAGGTCTGAGGTCACAAAGGCTTAGCGGAACGCACACTGCTTGGTCAGTAGTGTGCACAGCTGTTAAAATAGGGAGGGTCTTGTCTTGCTGAAGGTCATCCTGCCCTTTATGTGGGTTTGCAGTAGCTTGTGAACTGGACTTCTGGCTTGTTATATTATCTTTCAAGCATAGTGAACTTCTGTTTATTTTTTAGAAACAGAATCTCACTGTGTAGCCTTGGCTGATTTGGAACTCACTATGTAGACGAGGCTGGAGGTCCTTCTGCCTCTGTCTCCAGAGTGCTGAGATTAAAGGCCTGCACTCCCACACCCTGGCTTCATAGCGAAGTTCTTTCTTCTCTCACAATCCTTTGCTCTGATAGTAATCCTCCATCACCCGCCAATGTTAATTTGAAATTACATACAAGATGTGCTGCGTTTATTGCTTGTTTGTTTTGTATTTTGATGCATTATTTTCCTTCTCTGGCTCCCATTTAAACCTTGTTAATTTTTCCTGCTCATCATTTCAAATGTAACTCACCGAGCATCTTCTATTAACAGCAATTTTATTTTTGGTTTAAGGATTAACTACAAGTTAGTTGAATTTGATGGTTCTTTTCATCATTAACTTTATACTTAACTAGTATAAATAATCACTGGATGTCTTTGTGACCAGCACATGTGTATTCATTCATGACGTTTCCATTCAGCTACCTATTTATACCAGACATTGAACCAAGCATTAGGAATGCAGTATAGATGGCATAGGCATGTGAAACATGGACTCTGTAACCTAGAAGGTCAAATGTATGTTAAATATGTTTCACGTATTAGAATGTGTTTTGCTTCAGTTATGCAGGATTAATGAAAATGCGCAGTAGCCAGGGAGCTGACTAATTGGGTAAGGCACTTGCCACACAAGTGTGAAGACCCGAATTCAGATCCCCAGAGTTCAGATAATCCTGGAGGTCTCACAGCAAGAGAGGGGAGTGGACGGGAGAAGCCTTGGCTAGCTAACAAGATAGACTTTGGGAGGCCCACACCTGAGGTTGTCCTCTGATCTCCGTAGGCTTGATGACCAGGTACACATATACCCAGGTGCATAGACAGGAGCATGCATACACAAACACAATGAACATAAAGCACCTAGTGTGTGGTACCCAGGTGCATAGACAGGAGCATGCATACACATACCCAATAAACATAAAGCACCTAGTGTGTTGTACCCAGGTGCATAGACAGGAGCATGCATACACACACACACACACACAATGAACATAAAGCACCTGGTCACAGAGTGAGCCATGTTATATCTGAGGAAAGAAAAGTGCATTGATTTTTGTTCTTTTTGCTTGGGTGCTGAAGCTTAATATATCATCAATCTGTCATTTGTAGGCAGATTATATGATTAGGTCACATTTGGTTTCTCAGAGTTCTGAGGGTTTTTTTTTTGCCTTGGCTTCATTCTCTCCTCCTTGTGTTTAGGTAGTTGTTCTTGTGGATCAGTGTGTATGGTAAGAACACTTTATTGTAATTTAATAGGATTTTTCAATGTGTTCCTGGATCAATCGAGCTGTGCGATGACAAAAAGATTACATAATACTTTTCAGTATAAAATAACTTCAAATTAAAAAGAAAATTGCTGTTAGCATTCTTTATTTTGCTAATATTTACTCTGACTCTCAGAGAGAATTTAAAATAATAAACAGTGTTTTATAGAGAGCTTTGACAGAGAAGTGTTTCTTTGTGGGATGTCTTAAGAAACCATCTGTGGACACCAAATGTGAAAAGCTGATTTCAATGTTGGGTTTCATGTTTACTTTCTTCTTCTTTGCCTCCTCAAATCCAATAATATGTAAAACCAAAGCCAGCCACATGAACTGAGTAGATCAAGGCACATGATAAGAATGAACAGCTTTGGGCTGGGGAGATGGCTCAGTGTTTAAAAGTACTGGCTGCTCTTCCAGAGGACCAGGGTTCATTTCCTAGCATCCACATAGCAGCTCCCTCCACCTATAACTCCAATCTCAGGGGATCTGATACCTTCTTCTGGCTTCCATGGGTACTGGACACATGTGATACTTATATGTGTGCATGCCAAATATCCATACATAGAAAAGAAAACTTAAAGTAAAACAGCTAATGTTTTACTTAATGGTCAGACATTATTGAAACTATTAATATTTTCTCCCTAAGATGAAAAAGATCTGCCTGTATTTATGTTCATTATTCTATAGGGTGTGGCCATTGCAATAAAACAAGAATCTATTTTAAAAGCCATTTAGACTAAGTAAGTGGGGTTACACCTTTTTATAGTTTTATTTAGTACAGTTACTTTTAGTGTACAGTATAAATTCAGAAAACTCAATGAATATATTCAACTTTTACAATGTAGTCAAAATATAAATTACTTAGGAGATAATCTAGAGAAAGGTGTTAAAAACCAGTGTGTTGAATCTGAAAACCAGTTTTGCAGGAAATTATATATTTCATGTCCACAAATTTGAAGGTTTAATTATTGTTATTCTTAAATTCAACTACAGAATTATTGTATCTCAATCAAAAACACTTTTAAAAATGGAATCAGACAGATTCTGAAATTAATATTAGAGTTAGATATGTATTTAATCAGGATAAATACTTTTATTTTGACATGTGTTTTGAGACCAGTTCTTACTGTGCAGCTCAATCTGGCCTGGAACTCATAGTGATCCTCCTGCCTCAACTCCCCAAGTCCTGGGATTCATAGGTATGCACCACCACAACCAATTCTCAAGATTTTGTAGTAAGCCAGGTATGATGGCACACACTTTGATCCCAGCACTTGGGAGGCAGAGGCAGGCGGGTTGAGTTTGAGGCCAGCCTGGTCTACATAGTGGGTTCCAGAGCAGCCAAAGCTATGTAGAGAGACCCTGTCTCAAACTCCCAAATTCTTTTATAAAAAGCATTGTTAGTTAATACTGTAATTTTGTAGTCTCTATGGCAGTTGCTGTGCACATAGTGCCCTGCAGGACAGGTAGGTTAGGTGCTCAGTGACAGCAGGGTTCCCCAGAGACCAATGGGTCTCTGAACAGAAAGGAAGGCTAAGCTGAAGCAGATACAGGCTCCCGGGCTACTGGCAGGTAATTGACTCCAGGACCTTCTGCTTTGCCAAAATATGATGGTACTCTAATAAACCTTTTATAAAGTAGGGCATATGTATTTCAAATCATTATGAAGCTTAATATAACCTGCACATTATCCTCTCATAGACTCTTAGTCATTTACAGAGCACTTACACCTAATGAAGTCTGAAGGTTCTGTAAAGGACCATATTCAAGGAATTAGGCCAGCCAAGAAATATCTGTATGTGTTCTGAACAGACATAGTCCTGTGAATACAGAGTGCTGATTGTGTGTCTATGTCTACAGAATCACTTGACACAAGACAAAGATGAGAAGCAGTGTGGTGGTGAGGTGAAGGGGCAGTCCTTGAAAAGAGTGCAATTGGGTATCCAGAAGGAAAAACGTATTTTTTTTTTTTTGCATTATATAATTCTAGACAGTTAGCAGTCTAAACACAGAAGGCTAAACCATAAACCTGACATTAGAAAAATACCGTGAAGGGAACTTACAGTAGGGAACTGATTCAATAGGTAGTTTATGAGTCATTCATCAGAGATACGACCAAAAAAAAAAAAAAAGGCATCTCAAGGGTGAGATTTTCTATGCTTATGGTGTTTCTTGGAGAAGCAGAAATGGTGAGATAGTATTGTATGATTATGGAGACTAAACAGAATTTGGGTTTAGCAAGTATCAGAAATAGAGGTGGAGGATATCTTAATTGTTCTGTAGCATCACGCAGATCTCTCCTGTATGGATGCATGGGTCAGGCCTGTGGCAGTGGGGTGAATCGGTAAGGACCGCATTATTTCAATTTCCACTTTCCATTTTGCAGGATTCTAAAGTCCCTGGTGAGTCAGACAATGGATGAACAACCACAAGGAATGCAAGGGCCACCTGTTCCTCAGTTCCAGCCACAGGTAATTTAACGAAGTGGGATACGTTTATCTCCCTGTTCAATGCGTGTGAGTTTACCCTGCAGTGAAGTTGCTGCAAAATGTTCATCTCCAACTTCCACGTCATAGTCAGAATGACTGGCGTCCAAGTGTTTTATCATACTTCCTCTTCGTGTAGAACGTGACAGGAGACCTGCCCTTGCTTATGATTTCATCTCAGTGACTTCTTGGCTTTGAGGGTTACTGTTAGACTTGGGGAGAGAGGAAAAGGCAGGTTTGGGAGTATCTCTGCAGTTTGTACTCACGTGTGCTTTGGCTGGCTGCTCTTGACTTCCGTCTCTGTCTCTGTCTCTCTGGAAATGTTTCTCTTGTTATGTTACTCCTTAGTTCTTGTAATATAAAATGAAGTAGAAACGATGAGGGCATACTATTGAAATTCAGTTGCGAGTTTTCCCCGCATTTGTTGTTACGGTGCCCTGCAGAGCCCAATATTCAACAGCATGGTTAACATAATGAGCTTTGCTTTTGGAGGCAGCACCTCGTTGTCATTATTATTTTTCACCTGGGCTGTTTCTCAGCCTGGTATTTGAGAGGTCTTCTGCAGCAGACCTTCCATGTGCTCTGCTGGCTTTCCCTCAGTTTTGCTCTGAGGTTAAGCTCAGTGGTGAGGACTCAGTAGGAGTTCTTTCAAGTGAGCTCTGTAGTGGAGCAGGTTCCGGGCTCGTGCTACGGAGGCGCCCGTGGCCTTGTCTCCTCAGACTTCTCTGTGCAGTGTGCCCTGAATCTCAAAGCTAGTAGTGTGGTGCCCATGTTGGTCTCCAAACTTGCTGAATCTGTGCTCTCCGTTTGTTCTAATGCATCAGTTGACTTCTCCCAGGAGCATAGCTCAGAAATATCACCGACAGAAGACTGTCTTTCTGCGTCTGGGAAGTCACTCATTTTCAACCCTCCTTCCTGCTCTCTGGTTTTTAAACCCGGGTCCACACTTCCAGTGCCATCTAAAGCGCCGGCACTGCCATAAGGCTGTCAGATCGTCCGGTCTTCTGGAAACTTGGTGGTTCTCAATCTTTGTTCCGCGCTTCCTACATCTCTGTTATCTTCATTTCCTTTTCTTATTTGAGCGTTTTCCTTTTGTTAGGCTAGCCCAGCCAGCCAGTGGGGCCCAGACGCCCCTCCTGTCTCCACTTCTCCAGCACTGGGATTATAAGCCTAGACCACCACGCCTGGCATTTTGACCTAGGTTCTGGGCATCAAACTCAGCCCTTCCTGATTGAAGGCGAATGCTTTCCTGACTGCACTGTCCCTCCAGTACCCCCTGCACATTCCACCCATTAAAACAGACCTGTTCTCTTTGCCTAGCAAGTTAAGGCATTTGCTTGCAGGATTGGCTTTATCTAGTCTGTAACTTTGTAATGGTCTTAAGTTACATGATCAAGATCGTTTTTAGCAAACTTTAGTAGATACACCTAGCCCGATTCCATCTCAAATCTCTGGTGAGACACCATTGTTTCATATTATACCGTTCCTAGCAAAGATAATAAAAGAACACCTCTAAAAATTAGGCAGTTCATGTTGTGATTTTGAAGTTCACAGTTTTGACTGGTCCTGTGCTTCAAAGAACGGGGAAAAAAAAAATCACTTTTTTTTTTTTTTGCCTCCTACTGACTCACCAACCAAGAAAGGTCGGCGTGGCAGTAGGAGGCAGAAATGAAAGTAATTGTTTTCTTATGAGACACTAGGCTGCCACACAGTTTAAATTTCAAAATCATAGGAACGGTTGGTTCTGCATTTCTTTTCACACTGTTCCTTTCCTTTCTGCCTCCTGCTGCTGCTCCCGTGGGGTTGGAGCGCTTTCCCTGTTGGAGATAGGCAAGTGTCATGCCAGGCTCTGGCTGCCTTGTGGCGTGTGGGGGAAGGGGGAGCTTTCCTTTTTCCTCTTCCCTGCCTGCAGACTGATGGTGTGAGACAGCGAAAGAAAGATCGCCTGACAAGAGCTCATCGGCGTTATTGCTTATTAAGTCTTTGAGAAACGGTCCTGCTCTCTGTGGCATTTGCAAAGACTGGGAAGGGCAGCCCCAGCCCAGGGTTGACAACCTTCTTTGTTTTGTTCCACACCATTGGCCTGAATAATGGGGGTGATATGGCAACATATGGTTAGCCCAGCCACTCCTTGGCTTTTGTCATGCTAATGGGAGTGTGGACGTAAACAGAAACCTAAAGAAGTCAGACACAACTCGGATGGAGTGATGAACAGCAGATCTTCATGGCATGGCTCTCCTTTCCCTTGTTGAGATGAGGCAATAAACCCATACATCGCCTATAATGTGTGGTCTCATTTTCAGTGCCGTATGAATCCCTTTGTGGTTCAGGGTTAGAATGTGGAGTTTACTTATTTATTTTTGCATTACTGCTGCTCCATGATATTAGGGCCAATTTTTCTATTAGCGCCCCTGTTCTTTTCTCTCTCCCTTGATACCACACACTGCCGTCTAGAGAGCAGTGCACGCACATTTGACCTGATTCTTCCGTGTTTCATCCCTCAGACCTCTACTGGTACAACGGTAGATTTTCCTCTCCCTCCTTTAACGCAGACTGTATAAATGGTGGGGGTGGTCAAAGGGAAACCGGACAGGAAGACTAATTTTAAACAATGAAATTTTATATTTACTTTTCATTAGAGGTTTATGACAATATGTGACTGTCCTCATTTTTAGATTTTAAGTGAGGAGGGTTATGTTGCATATCTACTTCAGAATTCTAAAATTAATACTATAACGTTACCATAGTGCAAGTCTAAGAATTTCTAAGAACATTAATTGTGATAGTGATCAGAGGTTTGAGTTGGGGGGGGGTCTCTGCTATTATTTTACAATTTGAAATATTATAATATTTGAGCTGTTTGTGAAAGAGAACATATACCAGAACGGCATGTAGAAAACAGCCCACGCTTTTACAGTTTGCAGAGTATGAGGACGCTATTTTAGAGTCTGCTTCTTTGACCGCAAGGAGAGGTAGCCATCCTTTTAAGCTTCTTGGCAGCACAAGCTAGCATTCACTTAGGATTTTGGATGTGTGAAGTGAGCAAGGTCATTGTACCTCATTGCAAGGTGAGGGTGTAACAAGTATTGACTGTGGCAGGAGGAGGGTAGCCTCCTGGTGGCTCCCAGCGTGGATGAGGGCTTGGTCCTGATCACTGTCTTGCCGCCTTCTCTCTCTAGTTTACCTTCCAGAGTTATTCCCTGAGCCGTGAGGCTCATTTTGCTTGTGTTGATGAATTTGCGCTGTGAAGGTGTTTGTCATATGGCATTGAATAGAGCTTATTCTTTGGGAAGTCTAAATAGCAATTTAGGTGATGTAGTGTCCTCACAAGCGTTCACTTCATGTAGATTTTTTGGGTGTAGTCACAGGGCCGTAGACTGCAACAGCAGCTTTGAGGAAAGACAGTCTTGTTGGAATCAAGCTTCACAGCCTGGTCGTTCAGTTAAGTCCAAGGCTTCTCAGTAGTCACATCCCCAGTCTCCAGGCTTCCCCCTGCCTCTTCAAGCTCTCCTGCCTTCTAGCTTTCCTCCAACCTGAAACGTAGCATCCCCTGACCTCCTCTCAGCTGACACATCCTGCAGGTCACCCCTTTTCCAGCTGAGGTCTGTGCTCAGGTGATCTGCCTCTAGTTATGGGGTGAACCTACCGCCCTGCCCCTACTTGCCAAAATTCTCAGTAGAGCCAGGTACTGTACCATCCCTTTCTAAAGAAAGTGGTGTTTATTATATTCAAGTCTTTGTTTCTTCTTTCTCTTAAATTTACCCTGTGTAAACCCCACCCCTTCTCGCCATCTGAGCTACTCAGACCTTATCTTACCAACTGTATCGGAAAATAACTGAAAACACGCTAGTCCTTGAAATCCTTCCTTCTCCTGGCTTCCTTCCCCCCCACCCCCTCTTGTTTTACAGGCCTCCCTTTGCCCCGTGTCTCCTCACCTGCAGAACTACTTAATAACGAATTCCCCAAAGGCTTAGTACTTACATCCCTTTTTTGCCCATTTGTATTCCTTACCTGGGCTCTCTTCCATTCTTACAATTTCATGCATGTAGCTCTCAGAGTCATATCAGCCTAGAATTCTGCTTCTTCCAGACTCATATGCCCAACAGCCTTCCTGATACCGAATCGTCCATCATAACCATAGTGGACTCAAGCTGATCTCTAAGTATTTGCCTCCTCCCTATCCTACCCCTCACCTTCTGAATCCCGGTTACTGGCCGGTTCATCTTTCTTGCAGCTGACACTGGAACGCCCAATTTGTGGCTGAAGAGTTTCACCCGAGCTCCCGTCAAGCCTCGTCAGTCCCTGAGCCCACTTACAAAATAAACACACCGACTCTTATATTATATTTAAACTGCTTGGCCATTCGTTCAGGCCTACCATTGTCTAGCTCTTACTCTTACACTAAGCCCAGTTTTGTTAATCTGTATGTCACCACGTGTTCTGTGGCTTTACCTGTTGCCTCTACATGATGTTCCCTGGACGGCAGCTGGTGTCTCCCCACTCTGCCTTCCTGTCCTTTCCTTTTTCCTCTCTGTTAGTCCCGCCTATACTTCCTGCCTGGCTACTGGCCAGTGTTTTCTTTATCAAACAATCATCCACAGCAACCATGGCTTCCCCCTTTTCCTCTCATTATGTCTGGTTTATCAGGCACCAACAGCTCTACGTTTAAAACGTTTTAGAACTGGGGATTTCTTACTCCTTCCATTCCCCCCGCCAGGCCAGAGGCTTCTGTTGTATTGTAATAGCTTCCTCATTGATCTTGCTGAGGCCTTCCCCTCTCCCCTTCCATCTCGTCCAGCATAGCATTCAGGAACCATTATAAAATTGTAGTCCAACTCTGCTTCTTTCTGACTTTTGTATGATTTCCAGTTTGCTCATTCATCATTTTCCAGTATATGTTTATATACACTTGAAGTGGTGTGTGTGTGTGTGTGTGTGTGTGTGTGTGTGTGTGTGTGTGTGTGATCTTCTTTAAGCACTAAGTGAAAACTGAACCTTCCTAACTACGTAATACACCTTTGTTGGCATATTTTTCCATGAAATCTATTGGTTTATCTTTAAGTCTGCTCATTGTCTTTCTTGTTTTAGACTGTAAACTGCATCACTAGTCTGATTTATACACAGTAGCCATTCAATAAATATTTTTGAATAAATACAAACTTGGTTTCAAATCAGCCCATCTTTTTTCTTTTCAAATGTCACCTTTTAAATAATGTTAATATGTATATATAATACATATAAGTATCTTCAGAATTTCTTGCATTATATGTACAACTTCTCACATTCTCCATTAGTCTGTCTATCTATCTATCTATGTATCTATCTATCTATCTATCTATCTATCATCTATCTGTTATGAGTAATCTAGATTGCAGTCATAATTTCAGGTTACTTCTTTCCACTGCAGT